TCAGGGGATGCCCAGAAGCATAAAAAACGGCAAACAACAGCCATAAAATGCAAGAAATAATAAGGTAGAAGAACAAACAAGCATGAAAGGAACGAACCTTAACGTTAGCATTAGAAGAAAACAGACGATAGATAGATAGATAGATAGATAGATAGATAGATAGATAGATAGATACTTTATTTTTCCCGTTGGGGAAATTCATGACAGTATAACACAGAATCACTGTGATTCAGAGCCTGAACTGTAGAGTTATCTGTCCTATGATCACGTGATGATGAATTCCAAATATCCAGATTGGATCAGATCTGATCCAACATTATTTTTTTGTTTACAAACAGGGAGCGAAGGAAGTGAATAAAAATGTAAAATCAAAAGTCCCAAACCCACAATTGAATACAAATGTTTTGTTATCATCAAGGTAACGTGATATAAGTGCTGTCCTATTCCTCTTTATACCATGTTGAGTCCTTCAGCCTCTCACACTGAAACACTCACCAGGTGACGTCAGTAAGTCTGTGAGGGTTCAGGGTTCAGCTCTTCGGAGGGACGTTGGGATTTGACCATTTTCTCTCTCACAGTCTTCCTCCAAGAAGATTCTGATCTCATCCTGCAATTCAAACACCCTGGATAAAACCGTCATACATGACAGCAACAAAACATCTGTGTGATCTGATCCCATTTCCACACACAGTGCGGACAGGTCTTATTTTGATGTAGAGTTACTGTGGCAATGATGTCTGTCATTACATCGCTCAGCTCTCGGTGTATCATACAGTGTGTCCACTGCACATTGGGGGAAACGCTCTTTACTAGCTCTTGCAGCCCTCTTCGTTTCCCAGCGATTGCCTGAGCCCCATCTGTGCAGATCCCCACACAGTCCTCCAGCTTCAGATCAGCCTCTTTCAAGTAGGTGTCAATGATTTTGAACAATTCGTCTGCAGTGGCTCTGTTTGTTACTTGGTAGAAAAGCAAATCCTCCTTAAAATCATCCGCATCAATGAATCTGACATGTTATAAATAAACAGTCTTTGTTGCTGTCAGTCGCTTCATCCATCTGCACAGTAAACCGGCTGTCTCCAATCTCGTCATTAATCTGATCTTCTATATCTTTTGACGTCATAAATGCTCCTCCAGATATTATTGTTTGACAGAGGGATAGCCTTTAGTTTGCTGGTTGTTGCTTCATCAGTCATAGTTGAAACCAGATCAGTAACAGAAGGAAGAATTAATTCCTCAGCTACAGTGTGCAGCTTTTTACACTGAGCAGCTCTGTAAGCTACTTTATAGGAGGCAAGTTGAGCATTTGAAGGCACAGATGCTGCTTTAGTAAAGCTTCTGTTGTGCATGACAATTCAGTAGTTTTCTTCTGAAGAAATCAACAGGCTTGTCTTTGTGTTCGGGATGTGAAATCTCCAAGTGACATCTCAACGTGTTTGGCTTCATGCTGTCACAAGCTAATATTTTGAGACATGCGACACAATGTGGTGTTTCTTCATTACCCACCATTGTACTGGTGAAGTCAAGGGCGAGATATGACTCGTCATATTTCCTTGTCTTTGTTCTGTTAGTTGTGACGTTTGGTGTATATTCATTGTGTGCTTTACATTTATCTGACAGTCCTCTCACAAACATATTCATGTTTTGCCAGCAGTACAAAACCATGCATCATTAGTTACCCTGCTTTATCACTTCACCTGACTGGTTCAATGAGTTGACGTCTGTCTGCGTTTAAATCATAATCAAACAATATCTGTCACCATTTGATACATGATATTTAATTTGTTGTAACTCCACTGATGTAAATCTCAGTTTTTAGTGTTTAATGTGTAATAAAGAAACTAAAGTCTGTCCATCATAATAATTCTGCCAGATTTAACAGGGATCCTTGTTTCTGCAGATATTCTGAGGTCATCAATGATAATTGTCGATGTGAGGAAGAACATGTTTGAAACATCTCTGCAATAAATGAATAGAAACTCTTTCTCTTCTGCACCAATATAACAGAAACTATCAGATTTAAACAACACACGTCATTTAACTGCGCACCAGAGGAATGGAAATGTGTAAGAATGAATACAGGATGTAAACAATATAAATACTTTTGACAATAAAAAAATTAATCAAATCTATTCTGAAAAGGTCCACACACACACACACACACACACACACACACACACACACACACAAATAATGACTTTCACTTTCGGTATGGACTTTGATGGTGCAACTAGAGTTTCAGCTGTCGACAGAATTCATCGGTCCGATCAGGAGTATTGATTATTTGAAAGCAGGAGAACGCCAACTGACGTCAAAAACTGGTTATTGATCATCCGCAGGTGAGTGTCTGTTCAGATCATTTTGATGACGTCATATCTCTGACTGATTACTCGGGCAGGTTAGAATATGTCTGTCTCTGGGCAGATTTTGTCACCGTGGGTCACAACTTGCACGAGACGGTCACGAAGCTCAACAGGTGTGAAGTTGAGATCAAAGTGAATGGTCGGTTCGGAAACGCGTCAATGATTTTCTCTGGTTAATTACTGTAATTTATTTACTGCGACTCCAGGCTGAATATTCGCTTCCTTAAAGATGTAAATGAGGAAGAAAAATAGGAGGAAATGGCGACCCTCATAAAGTAGTACCTTTGTTTCTGAGAAGTTAAAGGATACCGTTAGAGTCCGTTTTTAAACTGAAAAATATTTAATTTATTTTTTCGCGAGCCTGACAAAGGTTAAGCTTTAATTGGCTTTTTTTCCTGATGAAGAACGTTAATGTCAGTGGTGATTCCGCCATTTCAGATATCAGCGGTTAGAAGCAGGAAGAAGAGTTACAGAAAACATGTAGCTCAGGAAAATTTTATGCTGCGTCAGCTCCTTTATGAAAAGTTAAATGTTTTATTTGAAGAGTTAAATGTGTGGAGCATAAGTGACTGGACACACAGGTGCTTCAGTGAAGAAGCCACAACAGTCAGTGTGGGTATAATCTGCCACAACTAAATAAAGTAAGCTTTTAAATAGAAGGAAGTGGGCACAGTGTAACAGTGAAAATGAAGTGAGTGAAATCCTTCAAACATTTTTACTCACTGATCTGCCCGGATACAACCTGAACTGATCTGTAGCTGCATCTTGATGTTTGTGTCTTCGTCTGATGATGATGACGTGTTACAGAGCAGAAACACTCTTCACTGCAGAGACATTAACTAAACACTTGATGATGAGTTAGTTATGGTCTGAGTTTAGTGTGAGAGAAGCTAAACTCTATTTCCTCTTCCCTCCAGCTCAGTTAGTCTCCGATGTTCTCAGCAGAGTTCACGATGGCGGCTGCAGCACCAGGTGAGTCAGTGAAGCGTCGTATTTTATTTCATACTTGCAGTTGGATGGAAAATCCTGTGATCTGAACCACATGATGCAGCATGTTGAGTTCTCCTCAGGCCTGAATCGGAGGCCCTTCCTCATACACTGGTTCCTGCTACAAACACCTGGAGAAGATTAAGACAAACATGGAAAGAATGAAAGAAGCAAATTTAGAAACAGCAGGATACAGTTAGTATTGTCACAGATCATTACACTTTCTGTTTAATTATTTGTTTTGTATCTCACAGGAGACATGAGCTGTACGAGTTTATTCTTTGAGACCTTTTATTTACAGTTGGAGAACAGATTACACATGCATCCTCTAGAAACAGCTGCATTTACATCTTTTCAACATCTGGATAAAATGTGCAGTCAGATCTCAACCTGTCCCTCCTTAGATGTGTTTACACGTTTAACTGGGAATTGATCCGATCCGTTCAATGAGCTCATGAACTGACTCTGTAACTAGGACCTGTAAGATCCAACCCAAGTGAACCTATTACCACTACGACCCATACTGTCATGATAGTGTGCAGATCATTACTCATTAACCAAAAGGGTTTTTACATTTATATGTCTGAGGCTTAATCTGTAATTTTCTGTATTTTTATAGATGATGGTGATTTAAAGGCCCAGAGGCGAAGCAGCAGGAGCCCTGACCACCCTCGCCCTGACTGTGAGTTGAACTAAAAGAGACGATCAAATCGATCATATAACATTTGCTATATGCTGTTGCTGGTATCATTGTTCATACAGTCATTATATACCCAGTCATTACTAAGTAATATCAGTATGACTGAGGTGGAAATATTCTGAAGAGCAGAGGATAAGTGGTCAATCATAGGTCTTAGTGCAAGAACCCACATTCATTTTAGAATTGAATGATATCATAGTTAATGTCAGATTATATGAAAAAGAAATAAAGAATGAATTAATGTGTCAATTTCTGTGTCTTTATAGTTAAAGAAGATCAACCTCTGCACAGCAGCAGAGATGAATTACTGTCACCTCACAGTGAGTCAAACTGAACTGATCCATAATTAGTCATGTGTTTAATTAGATTTGAACTTAGTGTTTCATGGATGATCCTTCCAAGAGTGTGAAATACCATTTAAATTACAGTAATATTCTGTAATATCAGTCAGAAATTGTGTAGAAAGAGCAAAATGTTCTACAAGAAAAGCAAACAGTGATTTTGGGAATCAATAATATCACTGAATGAAAAGGATCCATAATGAAAAAACTGTAACAGACAGACTGTAACATAGAGAAGATTTATCTATTTAAATGTGGAGGGCACATGGATTTTGACACAATAAGAGGCAATTAATGATGGATTATAGTGAATGTGATGAATTGAGGAGTGATGAGAATATGTTCATTGTCTTCAACCTAATGTTTTATTTTGTGATTTCATAGTGTCTGAACTCAGGATCGTGATGGTCGGGAAAAGTGAGGTCAAAAAGAAAACACTATGCAACTTCATCACTGGCAGCAAACAGCCTAGATCTTTAACAGTCAAACCACTAAAGCAGTGTGAGGCTGCCAGTGGAGAGTGGAGAGGAAAACCATTAACAGTGGTGAAAGCTCCAGACATGTTCAGTCTGTCTGTGGAAGCAGTGAGAGAAGAGGTGAAGAGGTGTGAGACTCTTTGTTCTCCTGGACCAAATGTTCTGCTGCTGTTAGTGAAACCTTCTGATTTCACTGAGGAGAACAGACGAACACTGAAGTTCATCCTGAGTCTGTTTGGTCCAGATGCTTTTAAACACTCAATGGTCGTCATGACACATGATGGGATGGAAACAAGTGTCTCTGTTAGTCAGCTGCTTCAAGACTGTGGAGGAAGACTCTTCAACATGTTTGAAGATAAACACCAACTGTTGATGAAGAAGATTGAGAACATTGTGCGTGAAAACAAAGAAACCTTCCTCACCTTCTCTGAAGAGCGTGAACACATGAAACCAGCTTTAAACCTGGTTCTGTGTGGGAGGAGAGGAGCAGGGAAGACTTCAGCAGCCGAGGCCATTTTAGGTCAGACAGAGCTTCATTCAGTCTCCAGCTCATCAGAGTGTGTTAAACATCAGGGAGAGGTGAGAGGACGTCAGGTTTCCCTGGTGGAGCTTCCTGCCTTGTACGGAAAACCTCAGGAGGAAGTGATGGAGGAATCGTTCAGGTGTATCTCCCTCTGTGATCCTGAGGGCGTCCATGCCTTCATCCTGGTCCTACCTGTGGGTCCCCTCACTGATGAAGACAAGGGAGAGTTAGAGACCATCCAGAACTCATTCAGCTCTCCAGTCAATGACTTCACCATGATTCTGTTCACTGTGGAGTCAGATCCTGCAGCTCCAGCTGTTGTTGACTTCATAAGAAAGAGCAGAGACATCCAGGAGCTGCTTCAGAGCTGTGGAGGAAGATCTGTTGTTGTCAACATCAAGGACAAGCAGCAGACCTCTGAGGTGTTGGATAGATTGCAAAAAATAAGACTCGACAAAGAAAAACCATCCAGCTACACAACAGAGACATTTGCACTTGCTCAAATAAAGAAGATCATACAACAAGAGAAACACATCACCACACTGCAGACTGAACTTGAGAACTGGAGAACAAAAGGCAAAGTCAGTTGTAAGTATTATAAAATTTAGATTTTTAATAAATGTATATAAATATGTGTGTGTGTGTGCACGCGTGCGTGCGTGCGTGTGTGATACTGTGTACTGTATATATGTACAGTATATGTCAGTGCAGTTGATGTAATAAGTTTTACTCTCAGGGTCATTGAATCTATTGGCTCTGTCTGTTGTCAGTCAGTTTCATTTTCTGACCAAAATTGTAGAAGAATACGTCTCCCAGCAATTTCTTCAACAGTAGAAAATCACAATCACATTTTGGAGAAATTTCAGTCTGACCCATGAGCATCACAGCATGAGATGACCCCGGCGATACAAATCAGGTCATCCAATCCAGTCAAGGGCAGCAAGGAATCTTTAGTCCATTAAAGGGGAGGAGAGGAGGAGGTAATGAGACACAGGTGCAACACAAAGAAAATGATTTCAAAATAAAACAGGAAATAACAGAAAGTCACAGCAGATCATGACAGGCTGAATCACTGGGTAGGAATATCAGGCACCGCTTCAGAATGATTCTCTTCATACCTGTCAAACAGGAAGTTCTGTCTCTCCATTTATTGCCATGTTATCTTTTGCTCCTGCTGTATAGTGCCCCATAAGGCGCCACTGATCCTGGAGGGCTGAATTCACTACATTACTGCCTTTGTGATGTTAAAAACTGGATGTCAAAAAATCTTCTGCAATTTAACTTTAGCAAAACAGTGAATGTTTTAATTGGTTCCCAGCACAGAGCAAAACAAATCCTGTCATCTGCTGGTCTCCTGTTGGATCACACCAAACCTGTTGCAAAGAATCTTGGCATTTGATCTGACAGCAACTGAAGTTTCAAGCGGCGCACAACAAAACTTGTGCAGTCTTGTTTTTATCATTTAAGAAATATTTCCAAAATATTTTTAAAAATCTTTTAAAGACACAGAGACAATTTTACATTCTTCCATTGCATCATACCTTGACAATTGCAACAGTCTCTTCACCTGCCACAACCAAAACTGTATTAATTGGACAGAACTCAGCCACCAGCCTTTCAACAAGATCCAAGACAGATCGTTGAGTTGTTACTGAGGCAAAACTGACAACTAGAGGTGACAGAGCATTCACAGTCAGAGCCCCAAAACTCTGGAACAAGCTACCTGAGGAGATACTACTCCTACTCCTACTTTTATCGGAGAGCTCTTCCTGAGTTTACTTGAATTTATTAGCTGCCCAGATTACTAGATTCTCATAGATTTTTTAATTGATTTCCCTTTTGCTTGTGACATTGCATTTGGTTTTGCTTGCACTATAGTACAAAAATATTTGATTTAATTACTATTTACCTCTGTTGCCTTGTATGACCCCTTGTTTTAATTTGCTTCTCTGTGTGGAGATGGAAGAAACTGCCAGAAGGACAACCAAGTATCACGTCTGGTCTCCTCCAAACATGACGCTTTGAATCGAGGCCAAACAATTCAATCTTAGTTTCATGAGACCAGAGAATCTTGTTTCTCACAGTCTGAGAGTCCAGAGAGAGCCCACATTGGTGAAGTGCTGCAGCGATGGTTGTCCTTCTGGATGTTTCTCTCATCTCTACACAGGATCTATGGAGTTCAGCTACGACCATTGGGTTCTTGATCTCCTCTCTTACCAAGGCTCTTCTCTCTGACTGGTCAGTTCGGCTGGGTAGCCAGCTCTCAGAAAAGTCCTGGTTGTTCCAAACTTCATCCATGTAAGAATATTAGAGACCACTGTGCTCTTGGGAACCTTCGTTGCAGCAGAAAGTTCTTTATAGCCTTTCCCAGATATAAGCCTTGACACAATCCTGTCTCTGAGCTCTGCAGGCAGTTCCTTCCTCCTCATGGATATTGCTCTGATAGGCATTATCCACACCACAGGTTGACTCCAATCAAGGTGCAGAAACCTCTCAAAGATGATCAAGAGAAGTTAAAGGAACCTGAGCTAAATTTCTAATTTGCCAAATTTGCAAAAATGTAGTTGTTTTTTTTAACATAAGGCTGTAACACAATGCAATGTGAAAACATTTGCAGTGGTCTGAACACTTTCTGAACCCACCGTATCTTGCAGTCTATGTAATGTTCAAACTGACAGCAAGTAACTCCACGTCTTCTCATTTCACAGGTGACGATGAGACTCAGAGCCCAGAGCGTCTCAGGATCGTGCTGATAGGGAAGACTGGAAGTGGAAAGAGCTCTACAGGAAACACCATTCTGGGAACAGAGAAGTTTGAAGCGGATATTCGTCAAACATCAGTCACCAAGTTTTGTCAGAAAGCACAGAGTGAGGTGGACGGTCGTCCTGTTGTTGTGGTTGACACTCCCGGTCTGTTTGACAATAGTTTGTCTCATGAAGAGGTTAATGAGGAGATGGTGAAGTGCATCAGTCTTCTAGCTCCGGGACCACATGTCTTCCTGTTGGTGTAACAGATCGGACGACTCACACCAGAGGAGAAGGAGACACTGAAACTCATTAAGAAAGTCTTTGGGAAGAATTCAGAGTCGTTCACCATCATTCTTTTAACTGGAGGAGACTCACTGGAAGACAAAAAGCTGTCGATTGAAGAATACATCAAAAATAAATGTGATGATTCCTTTAAGAAGCTGATCTCTGACTGTGGAGGAAGATATCATGTGTTTAATAACCGTAATGGAGAAAACCGCAGACAAGTCAGTGAGCTGATAAACATGATCGACACCATACTGAAGAGAAATGGAGGCAGCTGTTACACTAATGAGATGCTGCAAGAGGCCGAAGCAGCGATACAGAAAGAAGTGGAGAAGATCCTGAAGGAGAAGGAGGAGATGAAGAGAGAGAGGGAGGAACTAGAAAGAAAACATGAGGAAGAAAAGAAAGACATGAAAAGAAAAATGGAAGAAGAGAGAGCAAAAACTGAACAAGAGAGAAAACAGAGAGATGAACAACTCAAGGAAATGGAGGAGAAGATAAAGAAGGAGCGTGAGCAGACACAGAAAGAACAGGAGAAGAGAGAAGAAGAAGACAGGAAGAAGAAACAACAGGAAGAAACTCAACGACAGGAGTGGGAACAAAAAATTAAAGACCTGAAGAGCAAAATAAAATCAGAATCAGAATCAAAGGAAATCTTTGACAGAAAGCTGAAGGAGACTAAAGAGGTGATGAAAACACAACAGGAGGACTGGGAGAAGGAACGAAAACAAGAAGATGAACAAAGACGACGGGAGGAACAAAGACTTAAAAAGCTCCAGGAAGAATATGAGCGAGAGAGAGTTAAAACTGAAAACAAAAGAGAAGAAGAGGACAGAATGAGAAGAGAGCAGGAAGAGAAACTTAAAGAGATAGACAGAAAATATAAAACAGAAATAGAGAAAATGAAGAAGAAGTATGAGGAGGAGGCCAGAAAACAAGCTGAAGAATTCAATGACTTCAGAGAGAAAACGGAGGAGGACTTTGCAGCTCTGATAGACAAACACATGAAGGAAGTGATGGATCTGAAGCAACAACATGAGAAACACATGCAGGAGAAACAGGAGGAATATAAAAACTTAATGGATCTCTCAGAACACAAAGAAAAGACTCTGAAACAAGTCATGGACGAACTGCAGGACAAACACAAACAAGAGATGACCGACTTGATTCTGCTTCTTCTGACCCGAAAGAAAGAAAACAGGAGCAAAATAAGTTCAATGCAGAAAACACACAGAAAAGAGATGGAGAACCTTATGAAAGAGCTTTCAATCGAAAACAGGAGACAAGAGAAGGATCAACTGGACGAATTCAAGAAAAGACACAAAGAAGAAATTAAATCCTTGGACAGAGAACTTCAGAACCAAAGTAAAGAAGAGCAGAAGAGGAGAAGGAACAAGCTGTCCATCAAACATGACCAAGAAATCAATGAGTGGAGACTGAAATTTGTTGCCCTACAGCATCAAAAGCAGAAGGAAGAAGTGGACGAACTACAGAAAGAACATGAGCAGAAACTGAATAAATTCAAACAGAAACTTGTGGAAGAAAATAAAAGAAACGAGAAAGAAAAAATCGATGAGCTGCAGAAGAAACACGAAGCAGAAATAAAAAAGTTGAAAAAGCAAATCACGACCCAAGATGAAGACGGTGACGGTGAAGAGCTGGAGGACCTGCAGAAGAAACATGAAAGAGAAATGAATGAACTGAAAGAGAAACTTCTGGCCCCAGAGAAGCAGGGATCCTGCTGCATTGCATGAGCATGAGCCACTGCATTTTTATTTTTACTCTCTCCAAGCATTGAGAGAGTTAAATTTATACAGTTACCATTGTTCAGGTGTGGCTCCAGTCTGCTGTAGGATAGTGGAAAAGGTGTGTTTAGTTTAATGGTTCACATACACACTTACTTGCATATTTACAAAGAGCAGAAGTTTGGACGTTGCTGAGGATCCGAGCTGCTGCGTCCAGATCTGGGGAAACAGAAATCACATCACGTTACATCAGATGAGCAAAAACAGAATAATTGTACAGAGAATCAGTTGCCACTTTGCTGAGAGCAGAGACACAGTCTAGTAGAGGAGCATTCAGGTCATTATAGACAACAAGCCCCCACCACAGGTTTGTGACCTCCCCTCCAGATGTGGTGAACAACTTCTGCGCACGATTTGAAAGGTTAAATAATGTGCAGCTGATGAACCTTCCTTCCTCCAGATGATCAGGTTCTGTATGTGACTGCAGACAGTGTGAGGAAGACCCTGTAAAGGGTTAACCCTCAGAAAGCAGCTGTCTGGATGATAACAGCTCCAGAGAATCATCATGAAGTGCTTGAGAGACTGGTCTTGCAGAACATTAAATCCAGCAGTCCCATCACACTTGACCCCCTACAGTTTGCTTTGCTCCCCAACCACTCGACTGAAGACGCCTCCGACATCTGTCCTTCACTCAGCCCCGTCTCACCTGGAGAATAAGGACCTTGTGTCAGGACGCTATTCATTGACTTTTTTCAGGCTTCAAACAAGTCAATGAGCAAACACCTGATTGTGAAGCCGAGCAAACTTGGCCCAAACATCTCCCTCTGGGTTCTGGGTTCCCTCACTGGGAGGCTGCAGTCAGTCAAGATCAGCAGCTGCACCTCCGTCACCACCAACAGTGACGGGCCTCATCAGCCAAAATGATGAAACAGCTGACAGAGAGGAGGTGGACCTGCTAGCAGCACAGCTAGCAGACCAAGAAGCTTTCCCTAAATAAAGGGGAAACAAAGGAAGTTGACGGACTTCAGAAAGACACTGGTTGACCACGCACAGAGGGTCAGCAGCGGTGGAGAAACCTCTGCATACACCTGTAAACTCAAGGCTGTAGTTCAGTACAATCTGTAGGTATTAGTTAAGTTTTACCAGTTTGTCTGTGTCGTACAAAAACATCCTATTTTTTTAACTTCATTGCATTTATCAGAGAACTATAATTATACTCAGGTTAAAGAGCACAGGAGTTCAGAGGAGGGGAGGTTATATAGAGACCAGAAATGCTCTCTTCTGTTTAAGGATTTTAAGGATCCTGCAGTTCTCATGTTCACCACAGGGTGTCAGTGTCTGTAAATGTCACCCATCACAGGTGAGCAGGAACAGACTGGTGTCACAGCAGATTTAATAATCTCTTAAATCAGGATTATTTCCACAGTCTGATGGAGAACATGATCCAGAGCTGCCTCAGTGTTGTTGCTTTAATTTCATTAGAGCAACTTGTTGCCAGGTAAAGTTCATACTTTCCATCAATGATTTATACCAATACTGTAGATAAAATACTCTTTTCCCCTTTTCTGTTGTAAATGTGTTCTGTCTCAGTAGATTTCTGTGTTTGATTATAATAAGTGTTTTTTTTTTTTACTGGAAAAACCATTATAAATTGATTAATTAAATGTTGACTAATTTAAAGTAGTAGCAGTGTAGTAGTAATTTCAAGAAGTACGTTTTGAAAGAAAATTCAGATTCCAGCCAATTTTAAAATTCACTTAATTTAATTTTGAATTCAGTTGATTAACTTTTTGTCATTATGCTTTGTGTAAAGCTTTATTTTAAAGTTACTTTACTTTATTTAATCAGGAAGTTACATTGAGATCAACGTCTCATTTACAAGAGAGATGTGAGTTCAGAAAATAAATGAATATTAATAGACGAAATACAGATTTCCAGTGATTTCCAGTAAATCTACATTCAGATACAGAATGTATTCACACAAACGAGTGGACATGAGTTTATATAAACTGCTTTTAAATATACATTAAGATGCACAACCAGGTAGACAATAAGAAAAGTCTGTTCTGTACGTTCAGTTCTTATTTCTGTGACCCAGAACAGATCCTGGATGTTTGTGAAATATTCTTTTTTTTTTAAAGCTGTTGTATCGATCTCTAAAATGTAAAACAGCTTTTATTTTCCACCCCTGGAAAAAAAATATTTTTAAGCATTTTTACATATTTAACATCATGAGAATGAAATCATGATATCAAAACATCCAGGATACAAATAATATACAGAAAAATCAATAATACAAAGTATTAGATATATTTTTAAAAGAAGAATTGAACATTTAAACTTTATAAATTAACCCACAAACTAATATCCAAATCAACAGATTATATTCACATGACATTATAACGGGTTTATTAATGTTCTATAACAGTCAGTGTTTTAGTATTTTACTGATGATCTTTAACGGTCTTTGGGGGACAGGGCAGAACCAGTCCTCCTCTCTGTAACATACCTGTTATAAAACCAGTGACAGTGTCACATTGAGCCACTAGGTGACACTGTTGAGTTGAACATCAGCTGATGAACATGAGTGAGTCACTGACTGAAGCTCAGCAGAGGCTCAGAGGCTGTTATTATGGAAACACAGAGAACAGTTAGAGCCTCATCTGCTGCAGCTTCTGAGTTTCTCCTTCAGACAAACTACAAGTTCTGTAACTGAATGTTTGATGTCAAACGTCTGAGTTTAGACGACGGTTCTGCTCAGTGTGACAGTGGTCTGATTATTACAGTCAAATAAATCATCACTGACGTGCAGGAATTTAGGATAACAGGTTAATAATAGTAAAACCAGAAACTTAGTGTGATTATTAATATTATTATTGGTGATGATGCGAATAAAGAAACTGTGTTTTCCAAAGTGCTGTAAAGGAAACATAAAAACAATTAAGTTTGGCTCTAATAATAAAACATTTGAACTTCTACTTAAATAAAAGTAGCAGTACCACAGTGTACAAATATTCTGGCACAAGTAAAAGTTGTTTTATGCTAATACAAAAGTATATTAGCATTAAATTATACTTTAATTATGCAGTACAAGTACCTGATAATGCAGTAAATATCTTCTGTTACATCCCAACACTGTATTTTAACAGATCAAATAGAAATTACAATGAATGTTGGTTCATTTTATTTATTTATTTTTTTTTTATCGTTTTCATTCATTAAGACTAATGGTTCAAAATAATTCAAAATAAAATTAAACATCATAAATGCTGAAAACACACGTGTTAGAGCGACAACAGATGTTTTATTGCAGTTTTTATTCTAAGGATAACGGACCGACATAACGGCTCCACTTCCTCTGTCTGAGCGGCTGCCCCCTTCAAAGATCGTCTATTGAGACGATGACTCACCATGGGAGAAAACAAAACAGCGTTCAGTCTGATACAGTGGGCGTGACACAGTCAGCTGCAGCTTTTTCCTCTCACTGATATGGGATAAATAAATATTGTTAACTAAAATATTGTTCCATATATTATTGAATTATATACCACACTGTAATTAATCTTTAATTATTCATAAATAAAAAATAGAACTTATGGAGTTTGAAAAGTGAAAGTGTTTTTTTTCTCATCAAATGTATTAAGGAATATAGGATCAAGGTAATATTTTGCAGATTCACTTCAATAATTTTGTCATAATCATTTTTTCCTCTTTTTATTGTTTTTATTTCATCTCACCTCATTTTTGATAATATACATGTTATTTTCCTGTTGGGAATAGGTACACATATGAGTTTGTGGTATTATTTTCAGTTTAAAAGTCATTATTTGTTGTTATAGTATCATTATTATTATTGTTATTTGTTATTTTATTCGTTTTTCATGTCTTGACCAGGTCTCTCGCTGAACAAGAATTTTATTTTTTCTATCTCAATGAGACTTTCTGGTAAAATAAAGGAAATAATAATTTGTTATTTTTCATGTGGTATCTTTATTTTGACTTTAAAGAGTCAACATTTTGGCTTATTTTCTAATAATTATTACTTTATAATAGTTTTGATTTTTTTTTACTTTAGCTCATTTGTGAAGTTTCTTTGCTTTGCACTATTATTCCCTTTGTTATTTTAATACTACTACTAACAATAATAATAATAATAATAGTAATAATAAAATGTACTTACACATATGATATTATCATAAAACAGAAACCATAATGTCTTGGAAACAGTCTCAGA